CTCTGCCCAAAATCACAGCAAAGTCATTTACTACCATCTCTTTCATGTCCTCTCTCAAGCCTCTGATTCTTAAAGCAAATTCCATCTCTCTATATTGAGACATAACAATTTCATCTTGAGAAATTTCAACCTTTTTTTCCATTCCTTCAAATTTTTCCTCCAACACCTCCACTTTATCTTCAACTTCTTCAACTCGAGAGTCCAATTTTTCAACCACAGAAGCAAGTCCTTTTAAAGCCAGAACTATATCTTGCCTCAAAATACTATTATTCTCCGCTAAAAGCTCTTTCACTTCCCCTCTAATTTGAGATATAGCTTTTCCCATTATATCTTGCATATCTTTTACCGTTATTGGTTGCAGAGGAGGAGAAGATGGTGGTGTAGCTTTAGGTTGTTGTGCTGGTAATATTGCAGGAGAAGAGGCCACCTTGGGTACTGTAGAAGTCACTTGACGCTTTGAAGCCATCTTCAAAGATTTATTTCTTCTTTCCTCCTTCTTGAAAAAAAAACAGAAAAATACAAAAAAAAAATCCCTTAAAAAAGTGACAAAAAAAAGTTAAACAGAGAGGGAAAATACTCCTCCTAAAACCCAGATCCACCTTCAAAAAATCATTATAAATAATCAAATCCGTTCCGTTCCAATCACTTAAAAAAAACAACCTACTGATCGCCATTTTACTTTCCCTCTCAGCAAAAGAGAAAAAAAGGGAATAAAAATAAATCTTTAAACTTAAAGTCCCCAAAAAATAAAATAAAAGTAAAATCCTCTATTCAACTCTGTCCGCTTTTAAGATAACTCACCAGATCACTTTAACAGCGGAGGTGGGAGCGGCGTCTTGCTTTGTCCCTAGAGACAAAGACAGCTGAGAAGCGGAGACAATCTGAACTCTGTGGGAGCACTCTTTTCTCCCCCCGCCCCAAATTCTTTGGGGGATTTCAGAGGCTCTACCACTATTCAGATGATACTCACTATATTTGCCCGGGAAGGAGGTTTTGAACCGCAGAACAGCTGATGCCTGCTGTTCTCAGCGGTTCTAACACTTTCTCAGGAGGACGGATACAAAGTATCCGCCATCGCCAGCGCAAATCCACCGGAAGTCCTTGGCGTGTGCTTTGTATGCCTGCCTAGGCATACAAAGCACAAGCCAAAATGAAGGGAGCATCCTCAATAAAACCTAGCTAGCCACTAATATGGACAATGGAGTGCCAAGCAGCGTTTGAGAGATTAAAGAGACTTTTTTCTGCTGAACCAGTACTGAGGTACCCAAACATGGATAAACCCTTCGTAATACAGGCAAAGGCAAGTGATGTGGCAGTGGAGGCTGTACTATTACAAAAAAACGATGAAGGAGTATTGCAACTCTGTGTGTATACATCCAAGAAACTAACGGAAATGGAACAGCGCTGGCCCGTATGGGAGAAAAAGGCATACGGGATACGTTGGTCATTATTCACGTGGTGCTAGTTCCTTGAAGGCAACAAAATCCCTTTCCAGGTGTGGACTGACCACAAAAATTTGGAAGCCCTGAAAACACCCAGGAAGCTCAACCCCAAGCAAGCCCGCTGGTCCCAGCATTTTCACCAGTTCCAATTTACGCTCAACCATTTGCTGGGGGGAAAGAACTTCCTGGCAGATGCACATGCCCCAATAAAACAGCACGCGAGCCATAGACTCTAAACCGATGATGGTAGAATCATAACTGGCAGCGTCAGTAACCACCAGAGCCCAAGCTATATTAAAACCACAGCTGGGTAGCCAAACCAAAATTGAATTGTGGAAAAGTTTGGAAACAGATGAATAGTTCCAGAAAAATAAACACATGTGCACAATGAAAGATGGGCTGCCTTGGGTGGGGGGAAAGTTATATATACCAACAACACAAAGAGTCACATTCATGCAGCTTTGCCACGACACAAAATCAGCAGGGCATTTTGGATTTGTAAAAATGTTACACTTAATTAAATGGCAATTTTGGTGGCCATCCATAAAAAAGGACATAGAAAGTTACGTGGCCAGCTGCCCAAAGTGTGCAACTGCAAAGAGGTTGCAAGGGAAATTGCCCGGACTGTTACAAACAGTGGCAAATCCCTCAGCCTCCTGGAGGGAAATAGCCATGGATTTTATATTGGAATTACCAGAAAGCAATGGGAATACTGTTGTCTGGACGGTCATGGACTTGTTTTCCAAACAGATGCACTTTATCCCTTGCCAAAAGATTCTCACTGCAAAAGCCTTAGCGAAACTTCATCCAGCACATTTACAGATTGCATGGGGCACCCCAACGCCTCTGGGCAAAGGAGGGGATAAATTGGTGGTAAAAGTTTGGAAAGCCCAGGAAACTTTGCAGTTGCTTTCTTGTGCAGGGTGGTGTCCATTCTAATACTGCTCTGCCCTTCTCAGGGTCCATTTAAATGCCCTGTGGGGATACGCAATAACCTAGGTAGTCTATCCTTTCCTGGTGGAATTCGCATTTCGAGAGTTTGGCATATAGGTGGGTGGCTCGCAGTTTCTTTAAGACTGCTCTGACTAGGTTGACATGTTCCTCTTTTGATTCGGTGAAGATAAGAATGTCGTCTAAGTAAACCAGGACCCCCTTAAATAGGTGCTCCCTTAGAACGTCATTAATTGCATGGGCCCCCTTGTAATCCAAATGGCAAGACTTTGAATTGGTAGCACCCCGTGGGACAGTTAAATGCGGTCTTCCATTCATCCCCTTCCTTAATTCTCACGTGATAGTAAGCTTCCCTTAGGTCTAGTTTAGAAAAAAAATTTCTCTCGGTGTGACAACATGTCTTTCATGAGGGACAGAGGATATAGGTTGCTTTCACTGATTGCATTCAGGGTCCTATAATGTAGTAATCAGTGCTCAGTCATTGCAGGGTGCCAAAAATGGCTACTCCCTACGCAGCTTTTATTATTTATATACAGTTTACAAGAAGCAAAAGTTTCTACATGAGAATAACATTTCATTGGTTAAGCTCCTAACCAATCCTCAAGAATATAGAAGCCAGAGGCCAGAAACAGGGAATAGTAATGGCAATAACATCTTGTTTATGCGAGCTAGCTATTATCAGACTGGCAAGGTCAAACAGAGCTGCTGTCAGAATCCAATTATATTTCATCTTTAGTTATCAAATATAGAAAACCCCAATTCTGCCTTCTCTGGATTCTGCCATAAGAGGGAGAGAAGGGGGAGAACAAAGGGGCTTTATGGCCCTCACTTCCTTCAGTATACTTCTAAGGAACTGAATGTGTGTATTGCAAAAGAACTAACCATAAGAATGGGGCCATTTTCCTTTCATGTAGTTTCTTTGAAGTCTCCATCCAGCCGGGCAATAATGAGAAGGGGGTGGAAGTGTAATGCCTGAGACTGTCGCTGAAAGAGGGGATTGATTGGGTGGGGCTACTGGGGAAACCCTTAAAACCTTGAATTGGAGAGCTTGGACCCCAAGTCCTGTCTAGCACGCCTGCAACCACTTTTTCTTAATAAAGGATTCCTGTTGGAAGAATTATTCCAAGAGTTCTGTCTTCTTAAGATGCAAAGTGGGGTGGGTCCTTACAGCTGCACACTTTCACATCGCCATGTTGATGTGAAGGGGGAAGATAGATCTAGAGAAGAAGAAGCACACAGGCGTTGGAGGGGCAGTTTTCCACACAGGACCTTTGCCCGGCCCCCACCTCTACATCACAAGTCAATTAGACAAGATGCAGACAATAGTATGATACTCCTGTTATGTATCAGACATCAGTGTTAACATTTCTTTCCAACTGAATTGTTATTCTACTCAGTTATGAAATATGAAGATCTCACCAATTATACTGCAATGAAAATGGCGTTGTAAGTTTCATTTTCCATCACTTTTAGAACTTTATTTTATCAGCCAACATATTCCTATATAATCTAGTCAGTTTCTTAACATGAATATATGTCTTGACTTCTTGTTTAAATAAGATTAACAACATCCCACAAAGCAGAACTATAGAACCATTGCCTTGAAAAACATTGTGTCAGTAAAAAGATTTTTTTTTGTATTTGTCTTTATCCCTGATGTGACATATTGTGCAGTTTCTGCTTTCTTCTAAATCCACTATGAAAATTAAATGCCACTTACATATTTTACATCACAATGGCACAAGCACAAACCTGTATGAATCTTTTTGCTTGTTCTGTAATTTGAGAATGATAGTCTGAAATTTATTTCAGATGAAACCTATTTAAAAATCATGTTACATTTTAGTTGACCAAAGACCCATGATTGTTATGGCTGTAAGCACACACACTATGTTCTTTGAGGTTGGTTTCATGTGAAACCATTAGATCCTTATGTAGCCTTATTACATTCTTGAATGAGGTTATGAAGAAACCGTTTCCTTAGATTAATATTAACAATAGCTTTGGTATAACTGTACACTTCCCACGTAAATTATACTACTATTCTTCTGTTCCTGCTGATGGAACCCGAAGAAACTGGTATGCCGCTTGTTCCCTGTTCCTTTCCGCCCAATCGCAAGAACATGCAGTTTCGACAATACAATCATTGACTGCTGCGATCAGCAGTAATGAGAAAACATTACAGTGACTTCCGGAAAACATGACCGGATGCGGGATTTCGACTCGGAAGGAATCTTCGAAGCCAGCTATCGTTGCCGCGTAGATTGTTTCATCGATCGGAATAGGGTAGGTGAGTAGCTTTGCGCGTGGTTCGGAAAGGAGGAAAACTAGACGAGGATCAAACTTTCCTTGGTAGATAAGAACATTTATCTTTTTTCGTGTTTAGGAGTTCCAAAGGTTTTTCTGACTGAGATCCTGTTGAGGCTCTTCCTCTATACCAGGGGTAGGCAACCTTGGCTCTTTTATGACTCGTGGACTTCAACTCCCAGAATTCCTGAGCCAGCCATGCTGAGTGGAAAGGGAGAGGTTTTCAAGCTGAGCCATGCTGGCTCAGGAATTCTGGGAATTGAAGTCCATGAGTCATAAAAGAGCCAAGGTTGCCTATCCCTGCTCTATCCCATACCCCGTTTCCTGTTTTATTTGCCTGCCGCCGAGTGGAACTTCCTTTCCTTTGAAAGGAGGTTGTTCTGAAAGTAGCTTTACAAAAGAATAAATCTTTGGATTCTTGAGATACACGAGGTCTCTGCTAACCGTTTAGGTATGTTTTTGGCGGTAGGCCACGGCTACTCAGTCCTATTGGAGTATTTAAACATGGTGGATATTTAGCCAATGCGGAGAATTTCTGTAACTGAGTTTAAATTTAGATTTTTCATCAGGTTATCTTTAGGCTGATTTAGGCTATTCCTGTTGATTCGGGGGAGTGCTCCTTGGACTCAAACTTTTTAACCTAAAATGAATTTGATAATAATTTTTCCATTCATGCAGAAAAATAGAAGCTAGAATACCATTTCAATAAAGTGTTTACTATTTCCAATAGATAAGCCTTTAAAATATCATCTATAATATGTATGTTAAACAGGTCAGTTTTAACCATGACATTGTACATTGTCAGTGTTTTTTAAGCAGTTAAAAACTGATTCTAGGTTTGAATAAAATATTAGAATAAGAAAATGAGTTAGACATAGATCTTCTATTCAATTCTATTATATTTGTAAATTAACACTGATAGTGAATATATCTTTTCAATTCTTTCTTTCAACCATCTTTTAGTTCCATTTTATGGAGTAGTGTTCAACCAGACATCATTAAAATTAGTACCTCTGTACCTTTTATATCTTGTTGTGTAGCTTGGATTTTATATTATTTTATGATTTTAATATAATTTTTTAGAGGTTTGCATTGAATTAGTTATGTATATAAATGTAATATAAATTTGTTATGGTAATGTAAAATTATTTTTTAATTGTCTGGTGTTTTTCCTGCTAGAATCTCTAGTATGACACCCAAATGCAATGTATTTTAACTCTCAGGGTAGCCTTGTTAGTGGATATTCAGATAACTTATGTTGGGGATTGGGTAAGAGACAATAAAACTGTCCTTAATTTAGATTTGATATGAACTAAGAGATTTGGCTATTCAGTTTTAAATGCAATATCTCAATGAATTTTTTACTTTATCAGTGCAATTGGAAGTATTTTTTCTCTCTAAGAATGTTCACATTTTTTTTTTTTGCAGAATTTCAAAATGACTAAAAAGAGACAACATCAAGAAGATTTTCATAAACTCAAATTAAAAGTTGGGAAAAAGAAGTCTCGACTAGAAAATACAACTGACACAAATTTCAGAACAAAGACTATACATCTTCCTGAGCAGCTGCAACAGGGTAGTATACTTCCAACAAATAATAGGAAGCTTAATATAAAGGTAAAAATAAAAGTTTGAGTTCTCAGACTATTGTTGTAGTTAGTTTTAGACCAATTTTATCAGAAAATTAACTTTTGTAAAACTAAGCATTTTACCAGACATGGAAAAGAACATTTTTCCATATATACAATAGGGAGAAACTTATTTGATCCCCTGCTGATTTTGTATATTTGCCTGCTGACAAAGAAATGATCAGTGTATAATTTTAATGGTAGGTTTATTTTAACAGTGAGAGATAGAATAACAACAACAAAAAAATCCAGAAAAATGCATTTCAAAAAAGTTATAAATTGATCTGCATTTTAACGAGTGAAATAAATATTTACCCTGTTGCAAAACATGACTTAGTACTTGGTGGCAAAATCCTTGTTGGCAATCACAGAGGTCAGACATTTCTTGCAGTTGGCCACCAGGTTTGTACATATCTCAGAAGGGATTTTGTCCCACTCTTTGCAGATCCTCTACAAGTTATTAAGGTTTTGAGGCTGATGTTTGGCAGCTCAAACCTTCAGCTCCCTCCACAGATTTTCTATGGGATTAAGGTCTGGAGACTGGCTAGGTCACTCCAGGACCTTAATGTTCTTCTTCAGCCACTCCTTTGTTGCATTGACTGTGTGTTTTGGGTCATTGTCGTGCTGTAATACCCATTCAATGCCCTGGCTGAAGGAAGGAGATTCTCACCCAAGATTTGATGGTACGTGGCCCCATCCATCATCTCTTTGATGTGGTGAAGTTGTCCTGTCCGCTTAGCAGAAAAACATCCCCCAAAGGATATTTCCACCTCTATGTTTGATGGTAGGGATGGTATTTTGGGGGTCACAGGCAGTTAAATTGATGCCAAAGAGTTCGATTTTGATCTCACCTGACCACAATTTCACCCAGTTCTTCTCTGAATTATTCAGATATTCATTGGCAAACTTCAGATGGGCCTCTACATGTGCTTTCTTTTCTTTTTTCTTTTTGTACAAGTTTTATTAGTTTTTCAAGTTTTTACATCCAGGTGCTTAGGAAGCAGAGTGGTGATAGGGTAATCAATAGTCCAATAACAAAATCATTCATGTATATCTCAGGTTACATCAATAAGGATTCCCTCTCTGGTTCCCTTAAATCACGGATAGGCAACCTTGACTCAGGAATTCTGGGAGTTGAAGTCCATGAGTCATAAAAGAGCCAAGGTTGCCTACCTCTGCCTTAAATATTATATCATGTTCATATTAATACATTTCTAACTACAGTTCAGTCAATCAAAACATTTATCAATAAGATTTTACTTATACATATCCAAGTCCTGTTTTTAAGTTTTGCTTGATTCCAATTCCATGTTTCAATTTAGCCTTTTATAACCAATATTTAAATTTTGGATAACCTTAATTTCCCTCATTTCATTATAAGATACTTAACTTAACTAAAATAGACATGTTAATCCAAAATTTGCCTTCTTACTTAGGTTGTTCACAAATATATTCTATTTCATTTACTAACAAAAATCTTCCCTTATCACAAATGTATTTCCATCTGACAATCAATACTATAATCTAACAATTAATTTTAATTTCCCTTGTTAGCCTTAATCCTGGATATTAAACCAATCACTCCAAAGAGCTACTTAGCCCATTAAGTGAATTTTTAAATCCCATTTTTAAATCCAACTCTGGCTTTCTTTTTGTGCTAGGCAGGCTCCCATACCAGTGATTCTGAATCCACTGATATGTCTTCCTTCATTCCCACACATGTTGTTTGAACCAAGGGAGAATATACAGTTATCAATTTTTCAAAGGAACTGGCCACTTTGTTGTAAGTAGGTTGTTGCCCTAATAGTTCAAATCTTTGTTCTTCTTCCAGTTTTGTCTGAGTAAAGTAAAAGATCATATCCAGTGTTGTAGTTATTGTTTGATTAGCTAAATTGAGTTCTCAATGTGGTATGTTTGTTGATCAGTTCCTGTTGCCTTTGGAGTTGTAGATACTGTAGTTAAAGTCAGTGTTGGATTACCAAAGTTCTTAATAGGTTGTGGATATTATTGTTCCTCTTCTGTTTTTTGGCTTGTAGGTTGATCATCTGAAGTCTGGGGTTTGCTTTGTAGTATTGTGAAAATATCCTCAGCTTTCACTTTTGACTTGATTAGCTCAGTAGCTTTAAGAATTTTTTCAAGGATAACTTTGTAGTTAAGTTGTGGGTAGAGTTCCTCCGTTTCCATGGTGATTAGAGATAGTCCTTTGGTGGAGGCTATATTTAATAAGAGTCAGCCAATGTTCACCTCTGCACTTTTTAGAAGTTGTTTTCACCAGCCAGCTGTTTCCAATTATTATCTTTTGGGTAATACGAAGGACAAATCAAGGGAGTCAACTGCCACAATTGAGAAAATAAATAAATAAATTCAATTGCTATGCCAGGTTTCTCCACAAGATGTCCTCAGCAGACCACAAAATCTTTTCCCAAATGCCAATTAGCTTTTTTATTTTTCATTAAAGAAAACGGAGAAAAAGATATTTTCCAAAAATAATAGTTTAGGTCAGTGATGGCAAACTTTTTAAAGATCGAGTGCCCAAGCTGCAACCCAAACCCCACTTATTTATTGTCGGGTGCCGGATGGACATGGCCCACTGGGTGGGTGTGGTCCACTGGATGGGTGTGGCCTACTGGGTGGGCATGGCTGATATGGGCGTGGCCTACTGGGTGGGTGTGACCAGCTTGCCATCACTCGTGTCAGGGGCACTTGTGCGGACCTGGGCAGAACTGGGCCAGATCTGAGTATCTCCGGCAGAGCGGGGTGGGACTGGAGCGAGCACCGAGGCATGGTCCATTGGAGGAGCCTCATTGAGCCTCAGGCAATGCAGGGGGCCCATGGACAGTGGCACGGACTGCCTGGAACCCTGGGCAGTAGAGCTCAAGCACCCAGCTTGGCCCTTGAGCTCCCATGGCACCAGGACCCCACAGCCCTGCCTACCCTAGGTGCACTTCCCTGAGGGGGTGCCCAGCTGCGCTTACGTCCTCAAGGATATTGCTTCTGTGCTCGCTCTCCTTAGCCAAGTTGCTCATGGTGAGTGCAGAAGGGCAAATTGTATGGGTCAGAGGGAGGCCCACTCCCTCTCCATGTGAGGAGACCTGGCTTTGTAACCAAAGCATCCTCAGCAATAGGATGAGAGACCACCAGGGGATGGCAAAAGGGCCACAGGGCTGCTGGTGGCCAAGTGCTAAGGCAGGACTTTCCTTAGGCCCTCCCTCTCATTCCAATCTCCCTGCCTCCCTCCCTCCTTCCATTCTTCCTACCCCCTTTTCATTCCCATCTCCTTCCTTCCTCTCTCCCTCCCTCCTTTCCCTCTCTCTCTCTCCTCGCTCTCTCTCTTTCTCTCCCTTTCTCCAAAGTCCAAACGTGTGTGCTACTTTCCTCGCTCGCCCTGTTCATGCTGTGCATGCCCACAGAAAAGGCTCTGTGATAGAAGATTAAACAGCTGGGTGATTTTGGGCCAGTCATTCTTTCTCAGCCCAATCCACCTCCTAGGTGTGTTGTGAGGAAAATAGGAGGAGAAAGGTATGTTGGATATGTTTGTTGCCTTGAGCTATTTATAAAAATAGTATAGACCAGATATAAATAAAAATAAAATTCAATAATTCATTAAATAAATACTGGATTTCAGGACCTGTACTGATTTTCTAGACATGTAGGGAAATCAATCCAAAGTAAGCAGCAGGTTGCCTAGAACAGTGATCCTCAACCTTTCTAATGAGGTGACGGCATAATACAGTTCCCCATGTTGTGGTGACCCCCAAGTGGGTGTGGCCACCAATAAGAGGGAGTAGGACAGCTAGGGAAAAGGGAAAAAAATGGCGGACAGCATGGTTTGGCGACCCCCGTGAAATGGTCATTCGACCCCAAATGGGGTCCCGATCCATAGGTTGAGAACCACTGGCCTAGAAGAAGACTCCACTTTACAAAAGATGAGAGAGAGAGAGAGAGAGAGAGAGAGAGAGAGAGAGAGAGAGAGAGAGAGAGAGAGAGAGAGAGAGAGAGAGAGAGAGGAGATTCCAAGTGCTCATCTGTATGGAAATTCATCTTTTCCATCTCCAAATGTAGTGATGCAAATATGAAAGTTGGATTAATTGAATGAATAGGAAATTAAAATGTAGATTCATTATAAGAAGCTACTTTGCTTTATTTACTGATAATTCATTTGTATTGAATTTAATTTGGCCTGTACCGTAGGACCAATGGAGATGGATATTAATTTTAAATTAAAGAAAAATCCATCTCCATTGGTCCTTCAGTACAGGCCCAATCATTGTTTCCTGTTCTGCAATAAATAACAATATGCATAAACTTGTACATATAAGGCTAGCTTAAGTGGCATCTGGTTTTTTAAGCAGTGTGTGCAAGGTAATGGGACACTGATCCCTTTGCTGGTCTTGGGAATCTTGGCAAGCACCTAATCTTGAATTTACTGTTCCTATTTGGTTCTTGGGCTGCCCATGTCCCATCACTATGTGGTAGTACTGATCTTCCAGCAGAAAAGATTAATATATTCCTAAGGATGCAGCCAAAAACTGGTCTCAGAAAGTGCTACTTTTGATTTTGTATGAACAGATTGGATTTGTTTGAATAGAACACAATTAGTTCCTGCTCCTTTATCACTTCTTGAAAATAGAAGGCAATAAGAAATTGCACAAGCAACAGTCCATGGGCCAACAAACAGATTCTTTTTGAAGACTACCGGTACTAAAACAAGTCATGTCTTAATTACAGACTCTAGATTTAAACAGTCTTCCAAAGAGGTTCGCCATCTTAGACATCTTGAAGGCACCACTGCCAATCAAACGATTGTACAATTTATTGCACACCTGCTTTTGGTGTCTTATATCCCACCACTTCTCCACAGCAGCCATAGATCTGTCCTCCTCTTGAGGGTTACTCTGTGGGAATAATGATTATATTCCCAAAATGCAAAAAAAAAAAAAAAAAATTGTGGAAACCTTCCTGGTTTGTCTTATACAACTCCCACAGCTC